GGTCTCCCTGTAGCCCCAGTTGTCCTGGAACTCGCTATGTAGACCAGGCTGGCTCGATCTCACAGAGCTTGCCTGCTTCTTCCTAGGGATTAAAGGCATGCGGCACCACGCCCAGCTACTGCTTTTTTCTTTCTTGAAGAGCTTTTGGACTGGGTTCAGAAAGTGGCTCTTTTGCTGGTTTTCTGGGAACTCTCAGCCTGGCACAGCCTCTGATCATGCTGCTGGGACTGGGCTTGAGACTTCTCAGTGTCTCTGCATCAGGCACATCACACAGGTCTGAGGCTTCAGCAGCAGACAGGCTTATCTCTGTAGTACAGGGTCACTGGTCCCCCGTGGGGCAGACAAGTGTCAGCCCTGGGAGAGAATGGCTTTCCAAAAGCGTGGGAACTGCAGGACATCAAGTGCCAGAACATTCTCTGAATTAAAACAAGGGACAAGCCCAGCCTCGGAAGTAGCACTGCTCATCAGAAGGCCATAGGAGCTGCCATGGGCAGGGCTCTGCACACTGCCTCTGCAGTCGGCTCTCACTCTTCTTCAGGCCCAGCACAGCAGTGTGTGCTTAGAATCGCAGTGCTTGGAGGCAGCAGGGACAGGCAGATCCCTGGGCTCACTAGCCAGCCATCCCAGCCGAATAAGTAAGCTCCAGGTTCAGTAAGAGAGCCTGTCTCAGAAGATGAGGTGGAGAGTGATTGAGGGTGCAGAGAGGCTCCTCACTGACCTGGACTCCACACACTGTGAGCACACATGGCACACACAAACATGTATGCATGCATATGTCACACAAAAATTTACATGCCATCATGGGGCTAGCAAGGTGGCCCACTGGGTAAAGGCACCTACCATCAAGCTGAAGGCCTGAATTGCATCCCCAGGAGCCATTTTGTGGGAGTAGAGAACCAATTCCCAGAAGTTGTCTTTGAACCTTCACACGCGCACTGTGGCAGATGCACACAAGTCTGCCCCCAACACTAAATAAATGTACCAAAACAAGTACCATTGGGCTGGAGCAATGGCTCAATAATTAAGAGTGCTTGCTGCTCTTGCAGAGGACCAGAGTCCAGTTCTAGCACCCACACTGGGCAGCTTATAATTGCCTGTAACTCTAGTTCCAGGGGATTTGATGCCCCTTCTGGACTCTGAGGACACCCACACACATATATGCATATACACACACACAAAAAAATTTTTATACTATTTTGCTTGCATATATTAAGTGCACCCATGCATGTAATGCCCTCAGAGACCAGAAGAGGGCATTGGATTCCCCTGGAACTGGAGTCACAGAGGGTTGTTAGCTGCCATGTGGATGTTGGGAACCAAACCTGGGTCCTGTGCAAGAGCAGCCAATGTTCTTAACTGCCAAGCTATCACTCCAGCTCCCCCCAATTTCTTTTTTTTTTTTTTTTTTTGAGACAGGGTCTCTCTGTAGCCCCAGCTGTCCTGGAACTCACTATGTAGACCAAGCTGGCCTCAAACTCACAAAGATCCGCCTGCCTCTGCTTCCCGAGTGCTGGGACTAAAGGTGTGTGCCACCACCCCTGGCCCCAAATTTATTTTTAAGGTGCCGTCATGGTATTGGCTGAGGTGGTAGGATTGTTATAAACTTGAGGCCAGCCTAAGCCATATAGTGAGTTCCAGGTCAGCCTGGGCTACAGACTGAGACCCTTTCTAGGGCAAAGATTTTTTTTCAGAAATAAAAAACCCTTTTTCTTTTAACACATTTTGCATACCTATCTCTGTGCTGCCATGAACTAAAAATTGTTTGCATTTTCAAATAATGAGAGTTGGCCTGCTGCTTCCTCTGCGTCCATGAGTAAAGCCCAGGGTCTCAGCCACACCCCCCTCCTTCCCCTGCTGTATGCTGATTTGTTCAGTGTGCTCAGCTCACAACTCCCACCTACTATAGGTTGAAATTTGCTATAAAATAATACAGGATGGGAAATGGGTGGGGGTTTGTGACTGGATTGGGCTGACAACTGCTGGCACTGGCTGGTGGGTTCTCCAGTGCTCATCGTCCAGTTCTGGTGAGTGTGTCTGACATGGGCCACACACTGACAGCAGACCTGAGCACAGAGGACTGGGTGGGCACCTCCTCTCAGGCTTCTCCGTGCTGGGGGGTATCTTGGCTACAGAGAGCCTGAAGAAGTATCTGAAGGTGGTGATGACCCTTGAGTACCAGGAGAAGCCGCCCTACGCCATGCTGAGGAACAATCTGGAAGTCCTGCTGCAGGATCTGCGGGTGTCACCCTATGATTCCCTGGACCTCCAGATGGTGACCTAGGCTGAATCCAGGTGAGGAGAGCTTGTGGTCTTAACCCTCATCACTGACCCAGGCCTACAAGGACCAGTTCCTGGTGTGGCCAGCATGGGCCCCAGGCTCAGCTCCCCAGTAGGCTCTGGGTTTCCACATGGGCTCCTGAAATTAGTTCAAGAGGAAGTCAGATAGCTGAAACTCAGCTGGGTGTGGCTGTAAGAAAACATATTAGAGCCTGCGTGATAGTGCACATCTTTAGTCCCAGCAGAGGCAGGTGGATCTTTGTAAGTTCCAGGCCAGCTGGGGCTACAGGGAGACCCTGTCCGAAAAAGACCCAAAATTGGAAAAAAAAAATGTATAATGGGTGGGCTGTGGTAACCAGAAAATTCTGAGGGACCAAGGCATGGAGGTGCAGGCCTGTAATCCTAGCACGGAGGAGGTGGACACTGAATGGCCAAGGAGTTCAAGGGCAGCCTAAGCTATAAAGTGAGTTCTAGGCCAGCCTAAACCACAGTGCGAGTTCAACCTCAGCTTAGGCTGTATAAGACACTTAAAAAAAAAAAAAAAAAAAAAAAAAAAAGGTATAAAAAAACAATAAAAAGGAAATAATGTGGGAGTATAGAGAAAAAAAAAAATGTAT